AGCATCCATTTTCTTAACTGTCAAACTAGCATAAGAACACAAGCATTATATATATACACACACACACACACACACACACACACACACACATATGTGTACATACATACGTAATACATAGAATATATAATAGGAGTTTTATAAGGAGCTAATGAAATCATGCATATGAAAATAGTTTAAATATGTCATATAAATACCAAAGGTTTGATGCCTGCTATGTACTGTTTGTACTCCTTGAAAATTCTTATGTTAAAACCTATACCCTAGTGTAATGGTATTTAGAGGTAAGAGTTTTAGGAGGCGATTATGTCATGCAGGTGGATCCATCATGTGATTAGTGCCCTTAACAGATTTCCCGTCTGCCCTGAGAATGGCTTCCTGTGGTGCTTGTGGCTGTAGCGTTTACCTCAAGATTAATTTCGCTGATTATAGTCCTGACCTTACTCCCAAAGTTTGCCTTTAATTACCTTGCTTTTATTATTATTTTCACATTGGTCTAATATATTGATAATCTTTGGAAACAACTGACATCATTCCATTTATGGCACTCTGTTTTTAGTAGTGGTATTTCCACTTACAAAACATAGTAATTCTCGATCACTAAAAATATCAAACCCTAGAAAACACAGTGTTCCTACACATGATGTTAAAAGAACGCTGTCACTAAGCTGCAATTTTTTTTTCTAAATGGGAAAAGGGATAAAAATGAGGCCCCAGAGAGCTCCCTTACCCTCTTCCAACATGTGAAGACACAGCAAGGAAAGCTCTCTATGAACCAGGAAGTGGGATCACAGCAGACACAAATTTTGTCAATGCCTTAATCTTAGACTTCCCAGACTCAAAAACTGTGAGAAATAAATTTCTGTTGTTTATAAGTCACCCAGTCTATGCTATTCTGTTACAGCAGCCTGAACAGACTAGGACAATGACTCTAGGCAATTTCCAAATACTGTTTTTTTAATAGAAAAAAGTGAAAACTCATTTTTATGTTCAAAAATTAGCAAAGAATTTTATCTAGTTTTTCTTTTCTAATTGTGGAAAAGTAAATAAACTATAATATTCACAGAAAGTCCATTAAGCAATAGCTTAAAAAAAACAACAAAAAACACCTCCAACAAAATATACAGCCAAAAAGGTATGCAACTGATAAATGTAAGGGTCCTACCAAAAAAAAAAAAAATTCTAGTGAGTTAAAAATCAAGAGTCGCAAAGAATAAATCAAAAGTAAAGATAAGAACAACAAAAAAACTGTCCTACTGGAAATTGCTTGGTGTTCCAATATCTGCCTTGGTTAATCTCTTCTTTTTAGCTTTTCCTTTTTTCTTTTCTTTGGTATGGGAGATGTTGTTGACTTGTGGACCATAAAATCTATTTGTTGTGATTTCTGGATTTTTTATGTCAACTGTTGCCATAGGTAGATTAGGACCTGCAAAGAAAGTCAAAATAATATGAAAAGAATATAATTTAAAACAACAATCAATTATTATATTTAATTTAAATATCTTTTTTGAAGTGAGACTACTGTTACTATAAATTATTTAAATTTTAAACTTGTAAGTTAATTTTTTATAATAATGAATAAAGTGCTGCCCAAATTTGAAAACCTGTAATGAATTCTGAAACACATTAGAATAGATACATTATTCCAAAGAAAACTTGTATTTTTATAACATTAAATCTCATGGGGAATATAAATTTTCAACAAGAATTTAAACTAAATTGGTCTGATCCCTTAAATTTTGACTATAATAGCCTCACATCCAACACATTATTCATTGGTAAAGTGGTATATATCACATAAGAATAGGAGAAGTAAAAAAACAGCCATCTACTTTGTTTTAAACGTAACAAAGAAATCTAGTTTTATCCGTTTCAACTTTAGTAGTTCATGAGGAAAAAAGTACTTATGCAATTATTACTACCATTTTTTCCCCAAAACTGCCATTTTAAGTCCGATAATATTTTCTCCATCAGTAAACAAACACTTTGACTATCAAAAGTATAGAGATTAAAAACTTAAGATGAAAATAATTATCAAGACATTTATCTTCTGCAAATATCAACAGTAAAAATATCTCTGGTACCTTTGGACATTATTAGTAGCATCTTTAGGAGTTACACTAAGTGTAGCACAAAACCTGTTTTATAATTCACAAAAATATTCTTGGTCTTAAAAGTAGGAGAGTCTGAATGAAATGGATTCAACTTAAAAACTTCTTATAAAGTTACCTAAAAGGGCAACACATGTTCTTTAGAGGTTCTATTTTAATATATGATTCTCTGATAAAACCTATCAGACCGAATTCTTCTGAGAGGATTACATTAATGGCAACTTTCCAAATGCTGTATAAAACACAATCACCACTGTGCAGAAAAACATTTAAAATATCAGGCCTGAAACCACTATGCTTAGCATATGGAAACAACATTTCAAGAGGTTATTCCCTGATAAGATGGGCTCACTGTTTCTAAACTGTTTGTGGTGACAATGTGGTTTATGCTAAATAGATGCTTTCCTTCTAGGAGTTTACAATCTTGGTGTGTGCTAGACAGAGGACACTTATGTGACTAGCTACCAATAAAGCCTGGGCTTACAACAATAAACTGAGTCCCTAATGAGCATCTCCTTTAGACAACATTTCACATGTGTTGTCACAATTCATGACTAGAGAAATTAAATGCATCCCGTGACTCTAATGAGAGAATACTTTTGTGTGGTTTCTCCCAGAATTAACTCTATGTGTCTTTCCCATTGCTAATTCTGTGTTATATCTTTTCACTGTAATAAATCTTTGCCAGGAATACCACTATGTGCTAGGTCCTGTGAGTTCTAGCAAATCACCAACTGTAAAGGTAGTCTTGGGGACCCCAATACAATCATAGAACAGCAAATAACAATCCCAAGAAATTATAGGCTAATGTATATTAGGTGATCACTAAATGCCAATTGGACTGTAAGTCTTTGTGCAGAAAACCTCAAAGGTATCCTACTAAAGTTACACGAAAGAAAAATATTTACCTACATAGGTAAATTATATATAACCCACTTTCTCTCCATTCTACTATTAAAGATGAAAGAGTTAAAACAAAATTATGAAAGCCATCTGCCATCTTATCAAACAAGTAAACAATATGGAAAGATATGTTTAATATCACCAAATTCAGCTATTTTTCCTCACTATTCAAAGTCCACTTACATATAAATGTCTAAAATTTCTATTTATGATTTCATACAAAATTTCATGGGAAGTTGCTCATGTTGGCAAGAAATAATTCTTGGAAAAAATGGGAGCTAGTGAGTAATATGGATATAATCACTAAAAGATGATTCAGTGTGAAGAAATAATCTGAAAATAATTGCATCAAGAATTAAAGATTAGTTAAGCATACAGAAGGCTTATTAAACAGTAGACAAAGACTTGGATTTTCAAATTGTTCAGTATCAGATTTCAGTGTTTGTTGTAGTTTCACAAAATAAGGGGACTTACTGAGAATACCCAGAATTTGATGTTAGAGGGTTGAACTGGTGTCATACTCATACCATTGTAGATTAATCTAGTGATCTGATTTTACTTTTCCTTCTCCCCATTCTGCTTCCCTTCTTATAATTTATTTTTATAATAAATTATCAGTATCAGCAACACCATTCAAAATAAGATGCTGCAAATTACTATTTAGTCTCTTAGCTTTATAGTCCATAGTATAAATAGAATTTAAGAATTGACTTAAGACAGACTTTGGAGTACTAGAGTTAGGCACTGTCTGAAATAGGTGTTCATATAACAACTATAAAAAAAAGCAACCAGATTTACCATTAAAACAAAATTAACAACTATACAGTTGACCCTTAAATGACACGGGGATTAGGGGTACTGACCCCTCAGGCAGTTGGAAATTTGTGTATAACTTCTGACTCCCCCCAAAACTTAAGTACTAATAGCCTATCACTGACCAGAAGCCTTACCAATATCATAAACTGTCAATAATACATACTTTGATATTATATATATTATATATTGTATTCTTATACAAAAGTAAGCTAGAGGAAAGAAAATGTTACTCAAAAAATCATAAAGAAAATACATTTATGGTACTGTACATAGTTATTGAAAAATATCCTTGTATAAGTGGACCCACGCAGTTCAAACCATGTTATTCAAGGATCAACTATAATTAGTTTTTATAAAAGAATAAAAATATGTTCTATGCTGCCTTAGCTTATATAAAAGTAGGATACTTCAGTAGGATACCTTTGAGGTTTTCTGCACAATCAAATCCTATTACACTATGGATATTCTAAATGGGAATTGAGCTGAGTAAAGTTAAGTTCAATAATTCAAATTACCTAAGCTAATAAATTCTTTTCTGGGAAATAATAAAGTTAAGGTTCTTATAAGCCTGATTCATCACGCACTAGAGAAAATAACTCAGCCATTTCAGAAAATAACCCTGAAAAAGTTCAAGGACAAAGAAGACAGATACGAAATATAAGTGGTATGTGGAATGAATAACAAAGTTTAATTCATACTACAGTCAGACTGTGTTTCACCTCCTCCCTCTACCCAAAAATCAGGTATGGCAATATTGTTACACATCTGCCATGCAGTTTATAAAACCTTGGCATTAGTTACTTAGTGTCACTACACATGAATAACATTTAGTATTCATTAAAACATTGTTTAAATCTATATAAGAAAACCCAGATTAAAGAGATGCATAGAAAGTTACTATTAGCTGGGAAATTAGAGAGTTTTTCTAAATGTTTCATTTTTAGATGAAACTAAGGGCAAGAAGCATCAGGTGACCTGTCTAAAGTCACACAATTAGTGACAAAAGCAAAGGTGGACTCTGCTATCTTGGTTCTCAGACCACCAACCTTTCTATTAACTCGTATCTTCTACACAAGTCAAACCATAAAGTGATTGATAATGCTAACTTTACAAATGTTACTATATATTCTTTATCAATTTATCAGATTCTCACTCTGTAGTCTAACAGTTCATCATTCAATAAATATTTACTAATAACTTTTTAAATTTAGAAAAAAAGTTTTCTACATATTCAAGAGATGAAGTGCTTGATTATTTTGGTTGACAACAGCTATTTACTTTAGAGTTTGAAGATGTTAGAGAAAATAAATTTAAAATGATGGTTTAAAGCCCAATGCAATGTTTCAAAAGTGACACACTAAAAAAAAGTGATAACCTATACAAAGCCGAGTCATTTTTTAATAGTTTATGGAAGATGTGGTAACAGAGATACTCTTGAATCGTTTCTAATAAAATTTAATTGTTCGCTTATAAAATTATAGGCATCTTAAAATCACGTACTAAGTAAATATATAATGAAGGGGGCTGTTTTCCCTTCCTTAAAAAAAAAACAGTCAAATAAATTATCTTCTGATTAAGGACAACTGTCATAGAAAAAGGTTCTTTAATATTCTCATTGAGCAGCATTTCTAGTTAATTTTAAAACTAAAAGAACACACTAAAGTCTTCCCATTAGTTACATAAAAAGCAGAGAACTCTCAAGGTAAAATAGTTGAGAAACAGGTGGCCCAGAGGCCTCTGATGTCAAGTAGTCATGAAGCTGAGAACAAATCTTTGGAAAGCATCTAAGCTAAAAGGTGAGACTGACCAATAAAAAAACAAAACAAAACAAAACAAAACAGAAAGATGTACGGATTAGGAGTTAGTGAGGAAGACACTAAATTGCACTTCAGGAATATGTTACTTTTATATAAAGTGTCTTTTTAATAGTTACAATTTGAAAAAGTCTGCTAAATTGACAATCTAAATGAGGATCTGAGACACAGCATCTTCATGGACACTGCAAGACGGTTAGAGTGTCCACTGCCACCTAGTGGTAGTGCACCAAGTGCAGAAAAGTAATGTGCTGCCTCCAAAATAGTGGTCTCCACACAGTACAGAGAACAAGACGACTGACGGCACAGCAGGAAAGAACATTAAAACTTCTCATTATTTCATTCTTTATTATTAGTGTAATATATTAACACCATATTATGCGTATATTTCATAAATAAATAAGTATATACATACTGGCAATACATGCTATATAATTTTGCCTTGTAATACTACTTTTTAAGTTTCCATTTATTTAATTTAAAGAAGTTTGGGACCACTGCACTGAAGGGTTAAAACTATAGATCTAAAGATTTAAAATCAAGATCAATCTCAGATTGTGATACCACTGTCACATAAAGAAGAATACGCAAATTCTATCTATTCGTGGATTAGGTATCCCTTCAGAAATACAGTTTATATATTGAGATTAAATTTTAAAAAAATATAAAATATTTATACTCTTAATTTTAATTATATTATTTGTACATTATCTACTGTTTAAAATCTCAGGTTACTTTCCCCAAAGGTACCACCACTAGGAAATGGACTTCCCCCACTGGTACTCAACATATGCTCACAGAATGCAAAGTAATTTAATAAACTCAAAAAGAGACTCAAATATTGAGCACACATTAAGGAAAAAGATAATACTGCTTTAAAGGTTCACAGAAGATTTCTGACTCAGCTGCTTCTGCTTCCTTTGCCTCTGTCACATACTAGCTGTGTAGATTGAGGCATGTTACTTACCCTCTCTAGGTCTATTTCTCCCTCGAAATAAACTTGGTATAGAACAGTAGTTAAGGGGCCAGGCTCCTGAGTTAGATCTCTTGAGACTGAATCCTGCTCCACTCACTTACTAGTTATGTGACCTTGAACAAGTTACCTACCTGTGCCCCAGTTTACTCATCTATGAAATGGAGATACTAGGAACTATCTTCATAAAGTTGCTGAACAGTGCCTGGCAGGTAGCAAGTGATCATTAAATTGTAGCTCCTATTATTATCATTGTCATTGTCTTCATCGTGATAACTAATATTTATTAAGCACTACGCTAAGCACTTTATGAGTACTTCATTTAATCTCCACAGCAGCTCTATATAGCATTAAAATTTCCATTTAAAAGAGAAAGTCAAAGTGTACAATACTTGGCACATGGTAAGCATTACTGAAGGTAGTCTGGCATTTAAAAAAATTATAAGGCAAATAATTCAAAATTTAATACAGAAATATTTGGCTCACATTTTTATATAGGAAAACAAATTTAAGAACAAAATCAGAAGGCAATATAGCTGTTTAAAAGAAACAAACCCTAACAATCACCAACAGATGTCATATATTAAGAATTGTGTATTATGTTAAATGTTTCCCTGAATAATCATTCTAAATTCTGATGAGAGGATGTGAGATGCCTTTAAAAAGCAGCAGCTATATTCCCCATCATAATGAAGGCTCCTGGGGCAATAGTTATTTACCTTCATAGGGTCAGGGACCCCATGTAAATGTGATAAAAGCCACTGACTCTCTCTCCCCAGAGAAAGAAAAAACATATATAGGAAAATTTAGCACACAATTTCATGGAGGATTTATAAAGTCTAGGATGAGAATCTCTGACCTAGAGGTCTGGGACTTTGATCTTTGTATCTTGGTGGTACTTTCGATATACAATATTTTTTAAAATAAATGACTCCACAATATTTCGTGTTCATTATCAAATTAAGGAGAGTTATGGATATCTATTATTATTTCTAAACATACCATCATAGAAGTGGCTCATGCTGAAAGGGCCTAGTTTCATATTACCAGTGTGAAATAATATTTTGAAATAAGACGAAAAGATAAGTCTAAAGTAGGAAATGAACAAATATGCTAGGCAAAATCTACTGCTTTTAAGGAAGATATTAAAACCAGACTGTATGGTTTCTAAATTTAATCAACTGTGAACACAGAATTAAGGTTTAAGAATAGTGATCTTCACCCTATGTAGTCTTCTTGCATCCTAGAAAAAAACCAAATGGCATATTTCTAAGCATCATCTGTCATCTGTAACTTTAAAATTAGAACATAAAATATTAGATATTAATATCAAATATTAGATATTAATATATGATACATGTTTCTATAAGGATTAAACTGTACTCTAATATCTTTTGATCAATAATTATCAAAGAACTTACCATTTGGGGGGTCTCGTCTTTTCTCTGTTAGAAAATAAATTAAAAAAATATTATTAGACATATGTAATATAAACGTCAGCACAAAAAGTTAGTTTACCTAAAGCTGATATAAGGAAGGTTTCTCTGAGGAACTGACATTTGGGCAGACATCTGTATTAAGTGAGAGAGGAAACAACATATTCAAAGGCCCTAAGGAGGGAACAGCATAAAGGAACATCATGAGGACTAGATTTGAGTGAGAGAAAGGAAGAATAGAAGGAGATAAGTCAGAAAGAGAGACAAGAACTAGATCATATAGGGTCCCACAGGTCATGGATAAGGAATACAGATTGTATTCTATAGATAAATAGGAAGTTCTTATAGGGCTTGGAATAGGGCAAGTGACATGATATAATCTATATTTTAAAAAGTTTACTCCGGTAGAAGAGGGGAAAAAATGGTGTAGATGAGAAGCTTTGTTCATCGCTCTTGAGACCAAATCAAAGTTGTGACAGAAAAATGGAGCAAACAGCAAGCTAGATGACAGAAGCACTATTAATAACTAGGGAGAGAAATAAGAAATCACTTTGCAATGGAAGAAGGCAGGAGGGTACCGAGTTGCTAGGTGGGACAGAGACTACAGCTGTGCTAGCAGGCAGCAGCACACACCTCTAAAAGGGGCTGTGTCCGTAAGCAGACTTTCACGGTGATGGACATGCTCACTCTGAGCACCAGCGCAAGGATGGCTGCCTCAGGGGTGAAAGGGGGCACCAGGGACTTACTGGGGGACACTGAGTTGTCGAAGCAAGGGCCAGAGGCAAGACTCTCTCCTGGGCAGAAGTGCTGGCAGTATCCACTGTTCCTCTGTTGAGCCCTCCCCGCTCCTAGTCTGCACACTCAGTGCAGCCATAGCTGAGACATCATCAGACTGGATGGATAACAGAGGTCGCTCCACCCAGAGGATTCCCTGAAACTCTGATTCCCCCAGCTCGCAGCTCATCCAGTGTGTCCTTGCTGAGTCTGGTGCTCCTTGATAAGCCAATTTCAAGACTCGCACTAGTGACAGCTAACCTCAGTTTCTGGTGTGTTTTCTTGAGGCAACTATAAGCACAGTATCTGTGGATTGCTTGCTGAATCTTAACGGGTGACCCTGGAGCGGCATAAGCTGGGGCTAAACTTGGTCTGCAGCTGAACTCCTCTCAAGACTGTGCCACTGGACATCTACTACACAAGGCCACGCTAATAAGACCAGGAGACTTAGGAGTGTTGCTTAGTACATAGGAACAGACACAGAAAAAAAGTCGAAATGGGAAGACAAAGAAGCAGAAACCATATGAGAGAACACAACAGAGATTCAGGAATCATGAAGTCAAGCAATCTAACAGATGCAGAGTTCAAAACACTGGTTATAAAGATATTCAATGAACTTAGGGGAAGGGCAGATGAACTCAGTGAGAACTTTAACTAAGAGATAAAAAAACATAAAAAGGGAAATGAAAAATAAAAAAGGGAACTAGTCAGAAATGAAGAACACATTATCTGAGATGAATTGTATATTAGAGGGAATCAATAGAGTGGATAAAGAGAATTCAACCAATGATGGGGAAGCCAAGGTCACCCAATCAGAAAGGCAAGAAAAAAGAAGCCGAGACTATAATAATAATTTAAGGAGCTTATGGAACACAATCAAATGTAAAAACATCCGTGTTGTAGGGGTATCTGAAGGAAAACAAGAAGTTGAAGAACTATCTGAAGAAATGATGATGGAAAACTTCCCTAACCTGGTGAAGGAAATGGACATAAAACCCTAGGAAGCTCAGAGAGTTCCAAAAAAGATAAACCCAAAGAGGCCCACACCAAGACACATTATAATTAAAATGACAAAGGTTAAATACAAAAAGAGAATCTTAAAAGCAGCAAGAGAAAAGCAGTTAGTTACCTACAAGGGAGCAACCATAAGAATGGTAGATTTCTCAAAAGAAACTATGCAGGACAGAAGGGCTTGGCACAAAATATTCAATGTGATGAAGACCCAGGATCTACAACCAAGAATACTTTATCCAGCAAAGCTATCATTTACAGTCAAAGGACAGATAAAGAGTTTCCCAAACAAAAATAAGCTAAAGGAATTTATCGACACCAAGCCAGTATTACAGATAATGATGGAGGAACTTCTTTAAAAAGAAAAAAAACACGTATCAAAAACAGGAATAAAGAATGGTAATAACTACATTCCTATCAACAAGTACCTCAAATGGAAAAGAATTAAGTGCTCCAACCAAAAGACAGGGAGGCTGAATGGATAAGAAAACAAGACTCCCAACACACGCTGCCTACAAGAGACTCACTTCAGATTAAAAGATGCACACAGACTAAAAGGAAGAGGATACAAAAAGATAGTGCCTTGATGGACCTAGAGGGTACTGGGCTGAATGAAATAAGTCAGATAAAGACAAATATCATATGATTTCACATACATGTGGAATCTAAAGAACAAAATAATGACAACAAAAATGGAAATAAACTCATAGACACAGAATATTTTGAGAGCTACTAGATGGGAGTTTAGGGGGACGGTAAAAAAAGGCAAAGGTATTCAGAAGTACAAATGGATAGTTACAAAATAGACATGGAGATATAAAGTGTAGCATAAGGAAAATAGTTAACAATGTAATAACTATGTAAGGGGGATTTAGTGGGGTGATCACTTTGTGTTATATTGATCTCTAATCACTATGCTGTACAACTGAAACTAATATATTGTTGTATGACAACTATAATTGAGAAAAACTCATCGAATTGTACAATGTAAATATGAGTAATTAATTGTCTATCATATTTCAACAAAGCCAGAAAAAAAATAGCTGTATCAACTTTATTTTGGTTGGTATTTATCCATTATAATTCTCTCTTACCTTCTACTTTTAATCTTCCTGTATGTTTTAGATGTGATGCTTACAAAAAACATATAGCTCTTGTTCATCTATTCTGACAGTTTTTGTGTTTTGAACAGACATTTAGTCCTCTAATTTTATTCCACATATGGCAATGAGGGTCACAAGTCATATGGGTATAGAGGAACTGATGGGGCTGGAACTCAGGTTTCTAGTGTCTTGGTTCAATGTTTTTCCATTATGCAGGGTACCTCCAATAAAATACAAGTCCCTTTTAGCTAAACAAACGCATTTGAATTCACAATCCTACACAGTATCATTTTTACTCTCTGCTATCCTACAGCAATGTTGTCTAGTGGACTGATCTTCTATGTAATAATGGTGCCCTGTTCATCTGTCTTGTATTGTACTACAAATAGTATATATCTTCTAGTTGATTGTTTCAAGACAATGTTTAGTGAGAAATCAGAAGCGAGCATTTTTGCTAGAGAACTTTCACTAAATATAGTTAATATGTTGCTCATAGCATTGAAATTTAATTCTTGTCTTTAGCTTATATAATCTGTGCATGACTTCATGCAAATTATTGTACTATCTGAAGGTGGTTCTTCTCTTCTATAAAAATCTGAACAATTAAAAAACAAAAATCTCACTTAAAAAAAGTTTACTCTGGTAATTATGTAAAAAAAAAAAAAACAGATAATAGGAGGCAGAGAGTGGCAGCAGAGAGACTAGTCAGGGTGATAGGTAGTCCAGATGCCAGGTGATGGTGACTTGAATTAGAGTGGTAGGAGCAGAGGTGGTGAGAAATAGATCCAGGAAATGTTTTTGAAGGTGAAGCCAATACTACTCACTGATAGGATTTATGACAGACCATGGTAAGCCAGAGACAAAGTGGAGTCATTGCCTTTTACTGAGACGGAGAAGAATAAGCAAGGAGCAGGAACAGGTCTAACTGGGACTGGGGAACATGGATCAAGTGTTCTATTCAGACATGCTAAATTTGAAGCTATTCTGACACTCAACTCAACTAGTGTGAAGGTCGGCGAGAGGTCAGCATACAGATAATACTCAAAGCTATAGGACTAAATGAAAGTGCAGAGGTAATGAGAATACCCAGAGATGCTGAGCACTGGGGCAGACCAAAAAAATATTGAAAAGCTACAGCCAATTAGGTAGGAGTAAAGTCAGGAGAATTTCTATCAATCCTTTGCATTCATACTCTTACATACCAGGTTTGACACAGTCTAGGCTTAAAGAAAGTTCAAAAGTGGACGAAAAATTTTAAACAAATGTAATTTCCATAGATTTTCTAATACAAAATTTTCCAAAATTATAAGAAATACACATAAACAATAACATAATAAAATAATCAGATTACAAATAGCCACGAACTAAATTTAATAGGATTTAATTGGGGCATAAATGTTAAAAAGTCCTGGCAAAGGTAAATATAAATGTATTACTCCATCTGGTGGTCTGATGAAGTAACTTTTTGAAACATTTGAAGTAATCAAGTCCTATCTATGTCAATGAATATCAATCTCCATTTTCCAAGGTGATGTTTATCTCTGCATCCAGAGAGGAAATACTTCTTAAATTGGTGATGACACAGATATGGAATTATACTGAAATAAATATAAAGTTCAGAGTAAGTTCTAAACAGCAATTATTTAAATACACGACACTGTCCTGGTTTGAGAGGCACACGTGAAAAAAGGGAAGATTTGGTTGAACAAAGAAGAAAGAGCAATAATGGTATGAGATATTTGCTAGAAACATTAGCAGAACGGTGATTAATCAATTCAAGGGAAATTTTAGTATTATAGTACTAGTCAGACTACTGTTGGAGTACTCTGCTCAAATCTGGACATCATATTTGAAAGGTGGATCATTTCTTCAAATCTGGACTATCTGAACAAGACATAAAAATCTATACTGGACGCAGAGCACAATGTACTCACAATAATGAGTCTATAAGCTACATCATGTGAAGGATAAGAATCTGGAACTCTTTAGACTCAAGAAGTACAAAATAGATGGCATCCAAGGCTACTGGGAGGAAAATAAAACACTGTTGCTCCAAAAGTTGGACTCCATGTATCTAAGTTGAAGAGAGGTGAGGCTGGAGTATGACTTAGCTACCAGAGGATGAATCAGGTGCCTCCCTAATGTGATCTTTTATGCTTTGGAAACACTATGTCTAAAAGCTCAGAACTATATAAAACAGAATTTCTGTACCAGGTGAAAGACTAAATGACCTAACAATTTCAAAATCAATTATCCTATATTTTAAGCAGTTTTTTCACTTTTTTATATTAAACATGTCACATATTTTGAATAAAAGGAACCCTAGGGAGCCCCTAGCCTAGCATCACAACATGTCACTGAAATCAAGGCACTGAAACATAAATTATTTCATAACATTAAATCCTTTCTTAGTACAGAATCAAGTGGTCTACAAAAGAAGTAAAAATAACAGGCCCTTAATAATTCTCCTGTTCACTCATTACAAGTGGAATATAAGTGAGGCAACAACTTAATTTCTTTTATTTTCATTTTTACTTCACCTGCATCTTAGAAACCCATTAAAATAACAATAAAAGATGTATAAAATAGAAAATATGCTTTTACATTCCTGTTTTATGGATCCAGTCTCTTCCTTTTTCACAGCTTGGTCCCTTTTATTGGTAAAGCACAATTTTAAATACAGTGATCTTCAAACTGGGGTAATATGTACCCTTGGATGTACGGAAAGACTTTTCAAGGAGTGTAATAGCATGCTAGTTTTAAGGGAATCTGTTTGCTCATTTCAGCTCCCATGTTATTTCTCCTAAAAGTGATTTGCTTTAAGAGATGATTTTGGAGAGATTCACCATTCTTAACCACTCTTCTCCTACTTTACAACAGAAAGGCCTGGTACACCGGTGTCAAATAGTTTTATACCAATGAATTTAAAGCTCTGAGCTGCAATGCATCATTCTCCAATTGTTTTGGATGTATTAGAGTCTCATGCATTAAACCAAGTTCCTTATGGTTACATAATTTACAACATTAGGAACAAAATAGAGACAAGGCAATGTTTACAGATTTTGTTTGCAACTTTGCTTATTTGCCTTACAAAATACTTTTAAATATAGAAGTTGCAAACAATGCCATAAAAATTCAAATTTAAGAGTCAGTAATATGTGGGATGCTAACAAAAAAAGGTTACTGGAGTGAGTTCTTCAGTAAATCTGAAAAAAATTAGTGCTCAATAAAAATATTATTTCTTTTAAGGTAAGATTAGCAACTTTTTTTTTTTTTGTAAAGGGCCAGATAGTAAACATTTTAGGATTTTTTGTGCCATATAGTCTTTGTCATAACTATCGCACTATATTGTAGCAAAACAGCAGTCTTAGACAATATGTAACCAAACGAGCATAGTTATGTTTCAATAAAGCTGAATTTACAAAAGTAGATAGTGGGCCAGATTTGTCCTATAAGCCACAGTTTGTCAGTTCCTATTTAAAGGAATTGAAAAAAAAGTTTACCAGATTTCCTTTGCCGCCGGCCCAACAAGTCTGTAACTGCTTTTCGGAATTTTTTTGCTTCTTCTTCATTGGCAAAATTAAGAGCAACTTGACAAGTCTGAAATATTTTCATTAAAAAAGATAAACAAAAAAATCATGATAGCCAACTGAAACATTTCTGAAGAAGGAAAGCGTGACTTTTTAGCAGACAAGAACTTAAGAAGGCAGAAAATAAAAGACTACCATTAGAAAAGTTACCTATCACAATAGATACTAAAATATTAAACTGAATACTTTTATCTTCAATGAAAAGTAGCAAAGTAGCACATTAAATTTCATCCTTCAACACAGCTCTATAAATATCTTAGATTAGAAAAGGCAAACACTGGAAAAGTTGGTAAAATTCAGGTTAACTCTATCTTTAATAGTTTATGTTTTTATTTTACAGCTTAATTACAGGTTTAAGTTATAACCTTAATTCAGATACATTATTAAAAATATGGAAACATATTGACATTATTTTTTATTATGGCATTTAATGCATGCTTTTAAATATGCACATGTATTTATATCCTATCAAGAAAAATGTCAAAAAACACAACTAGAAAAGTACTATTTGAAAAGATGGATGTATCATCTAATATAACCTATTTATTCCTTATAGAAAATTTAGAAAATACAAATATCAAAACAAAGAAAATTGAACTCACCCATAATCCAGTCACTCAGATAATCCCTGCGAGCATATGGTATAGAAATCTTTCTAACGTTTTCCCCAAGTATATGCAATAAATTTTTAAAATTCTGTCCCACCACCCATTTATTGTATTTTAGCACTCTTCTAGGTCATAAACTATTCTTTCAAAAAAATAATTTGAATGGCAATACCATATTCAACATTTAAAAGTTACCATAACTTAGTGGACAATTAAGACTTCAATTTTATAGATAAGAAAACTAAAGCCCTTAGAGGTTACACTATTTGCCCAAGACACACAAAGAGATTAAACTATCTGTCCAAAGACAGAGAGAATAAAAAAAGTCAAAACTTCTTTTCTACATAGCAAATTATATTTACAGTACTCTTTAAAACTCTTTGGGCCCTTAAAATCTTAGCCATTTCTTCCCATTTAGAGATAATATCTATGAAGAAGTTCTAAAAAGTAAAATAATTTTTTTATATTTTACACAATGTTTACACAAAAAGCTCATAAATGCTTTCTATAGACAAATGTAAAAACAATGATATTAAACAAGACAATAAAAAAATAAAACTTACATCTCCAGCAAAGGTATGAAAATATCCTCTAGGACTATTATATACAAAGTTATTGTATAGCTCTTGTTCCCACAATAGTTTCCCATCCTAGAAAAAGTTAAAGAGTTACCAAAAAAGATAATCTCTAGGAATAAAACAAAGCAGATGACTAGTATTAAAGGAAATATTTTTATTAATAGCTTTTACGTACATACGTACATATATACATACCACATACATAACACATAAGGAACACATCATATAATTTAATCAGTAATTTCTTAATAACAGTAAACAATGGATAATGTTTCTTTCATAAAAACTGCGTATCAAGTGAGTTTAAGTATGTTAAGGTATAATCTTATTAGTCAAGCATTCCCAAATATAGTTATACTTGATCAAATCCATAACTAGAACAATTATTAGATCATCAATGTTAGAAGTAGAATACTTTTGTACATGCATTGATTACAAATGCGTAGTTTCATCAGCAATATTTGTAGACTGTGTGCTATCAAATACTACAGGAAGACTTCATGCTTGTCTCAATTCTGCAGATGCTGGGAGGGTCAAATATACCTTCTCTGCACTGCTCTGCACTGCTCATTAACAATCTTTGAATTCCTAACTTTTGCAGAGTGGCCTCCTAATGAAACACTGGTATAAGTAGTATTAATCATGTGCAGAAAGAAAGCAATTATTAAAGTGCACCATGGTTAAATTATACTTGGGAGCCGTGGATGATTGTCATATCTATGGCCATAGTATAAGAAATATAATTAACCTTAAATGCCATTCAACAATGGTCATCCACAACTGGAAATAAGAGGCTAGAGAAATATAATCATTGTCCTATTCTGAAATGCAAGATCACAATTTAAAAATATTTAAAATAAATGTACACACAGTATGACCACCATAATGGAATCCTTTCTTCTCACTTCTAAACAGTGCTTCCCATTGGTGATGAGAAATATGTCAAAGGACTTAGAGATTTCTTTCAAACTATGCATGTGTCCCCTGATCCACCAGAATCACTGCCATAGTAAGTCACTGTTAGTAACATGAGTATGTCACATCTCTCAGCTGAATTAGGCTATGGGGAAATGGATGTTAAGAAGCACTAATTTGCAAAGTGCAGTAACTTAAATTTTATTTAATCTCAGGGAAATACTCTGCAACAGACCCAGATGGTCATACTATTTTACAAATAAATAAGCTGAGGCCTAGAGAAGTAAAACAGTTTTACTACAATCTATCTGACCCTAAGTATTGTCCAGGAGTTCAAAGTCAGTTTTAATTTTTCTAATTATAATCCCATTATACTTGTTGCCACATATAAACATTAAGCAAAGAGGCTTGCCTATGGGAAAGATTTTAAAAGATAAATGGAGACTTCATCTCAGCAAAAAGAGAATTACTTTCCAATAACTGTAAGAGATGAATACCTGACATAGGGCATCCAATCTAGGAAAATATAGTTTATGATTCAGAGTGAGGAATACAAAGCTGTGAAAATCTGAAAATACCTATGTTGAGAAACAACATAAGGAAAAATGGGTAACAAACACATTATTATAGATATTGTATAATGCTTTAAACTTGGGCTGAAGTAAATAACAGTACATACCAAACTAAAATATACTTTTGAAGTTCCTTGAAAGAACTAAGTACGCTAGTCTGTAACAAATAAGACCGAATAAAAAAGTATCATTAGAAAAAGAGAGAATGTGGGAAAAGCCTAAGACCCAAAGGCATCAAACAAACAAACAAACAAACAAACAACCAAAAGCAACAGAAACATAAAACAGGGAACTATTCATGCTCTGGCATAGGATATGTTCTCATTTGATCGCAATGCCTATGCTTCAATATCTAAAATCAAGCTTCATTCTTCTAATATCAATTTAATTTAAATATTACACACAAGATAAACAAATCTATACTCAATTTAATTGAGGTAGAAAATCTAATCACTTACAGGTAGTGTAGCAGCAAAACAAAACTCACCTTGATATCAAATATTCTTAAAAAATAAGATCTCTGTGGATTGTCCTTAACAAGACAAGCGACACCACTGCATTTCTTAGACCACATACAATTCCGATCTGCTGCATATAACTGTACCACTGCTGAAGACATAGTCTGCAAAATATAAAATTTATAGCCATTAGGTTCAAAATAACACTTAGACAACTACAACTCCTGCTGACATCTTGACTGCAACTTCATGACACCAAATCAGAACCACCCAGCTAAGCTGCTCCTGAATTCCTGACCCACAGAAAAAAAGGAGATAATATTCATTGTTTTTTTTAAGCCACAATTTTTTCAAATAGTTTCCTATGCAGTAATAAATAACTACACAATAATAATACTAAAAATAATTATCGAAAGCTAATTTTACTGATGTTAAAATGTGTCAGGATATGTGCTAATAATAAGCACTTTCATATATAACCCCATTTAATTATTTTTACTATTATAACCTCATTTTATGCTTGAGAAATCCAAAGTTAAAGAAGATAAATAACTAGCTCGTGAAGTTAAGTGGCAGAGTTGAAATTCAATGCAGGCAATTTGTGACTTCAAATCTTATTATTCTTACTCCCTGTAATTTACTGTTTTCCAATAAAGTGAACATTTAAGTAATGAAGTAGCAGTATTAGTAAAGGCTGACTTTTATACAGCAGTTAAGATACTAAGTCAAATTTGAAAGCAAGCTATGTGATTACTAATTATAGTGCTGGACACTTAGAACATAATATCATCCTTGAAGATAGATTCCAATATCTCCTTTTTAAAAGATGGTAAAACTGAGGGGAAGCAAGATTTTTAGTGACTTTTAAGTGACGTGCATATGGCCACACAGCTCGAAAGCATACTGAAGATATGAAAAATTATTTGAGTAACTATTGTTCCGATTCTCTCAAGATTATACCTAACTAGTACCCTTTTAGGTGCATAGAAGTGAAGCTAAATGGACACCTTACACTAGAGCATTCAGACCTTCCAGTACACCACGTTACCACCTCCCTCATGACTGACTGTACCATGAAACAATGGAAACTTTCATTTACTTCTAAATTAAGTTTCTTTTTATTATAATCTAGACTGTAACTATCTGATCTTAGTTTCTGTAAGAGTGATACACACATATACTGGTATAACACTTACAAATCATCTAAAAACAGTAATTGCATTTTCTGATCCAGTAATCTCATTCTTAAAACTAGAAATTAAGGAAGTAATTTAAAATATAAAAATTGTATTTTTAATAAAAAATATTTATATGAACATATATTATGGGTTTTTACTAGAAGTAATTTAAATAACGAGAAATAGGAGATGATTAAATAATTATGGTACGTCAGTTCAATGAATACTAGGCATTGTAATAAAAAATAGACTATATTAATATTTGGAGATACTGTCATTTTGAGTTACTTAACTATGCCTGGGGAATGCTCCCCCTTGATAGGAGGATTCCAAAGAACTATTATATATATAAGTCTTTTGTAATAGTTAGAAATGTAAGATAAGTATACCGCTGGGGATCAAAATTTTATAAAGACTTTCGCAGACATCAGTGCTCCATGTTGTTTTTAACTTTTGCAGACCAAACTCATCTTTAAATTTTACAGACAGTCATGAATAGGACAGAAAGGAGGAGGAAAAAGTCCACAAGAGTCATTAAAAAAATTATGAAGATATGAGCTTACAAACTAGGGTTTTGGGTTTAAAAAAGGAGAGTAAAGAATGTGGCTTGTTCAAAACATACTGTGCTCTTCTGCAAGTACACAGTCTCAGCATGACAGCTCGACAGGCTCCCTAACCTTAAACCCTAGCATTGAACATTTCAGAAAAATGGATTTATATATATTACCCAATGGTATGAAAGACAAGATTGAAGAATTCAAAAATCAGATGAAAAAATGTGTTTTCTACAGAAAATTCATATAAATTACAGCCTTTTTAGAACAGCACTGTCAAAATGCATTCATTTCTAAAAAGAAAAGCAATCAGGAAACCAGATACCAATAAAAAAATCTAAAAGTCCTCTTACTTTACTTTTTAACAGGAAACCAGAAATACAGCTTGCAAAAGAAAAAAAATGTGTTATTAAATTGAACCTGAACTTCCATTATGGAAATCCCCTTGCCAAAAGACCAAATATTAACATTGTAAAACATTGTCGGGATGTATATATGAATTTAAAACAAAGACCAAAAAAATCCCCCAAAAAACCCCACTCCAAATGAAGTTACATTTACACATTTATATAAATTTAAAACAAATTCTTAAAACATTTGCTTAAGAAATAAAACACTGTGAAACAGTTTTATAATTTTCCATACAAACACAGTTGGCATTATAAACCGTATTTTGTAACAATTTATAAAATTTTATTAAAGAACTCAACTAATTATAAGCAAGTTTTAATAACCGGATTCTCACCATTTTGCTACAACCTTTTGTCAGTCTAAGTGTGTCTATTTCATTCCTTAACTGGCAAAGTCTGAAAATTATAAGCCATAGCACCTTTTAAAGCCTTTTCTGATTAATTTAGATTTATAGTGAATGCAAGAATAGCTTACACACATAATATTTAATATATAAATGCTAGAAATACAAAAACAGTGACTATTCCTTAAACTCTAAATGACAGTGGCTTAATTAAGTTTGTAAAAACATTCCTTCCATTCCTTTAAAGTAATTACGGCTAATCAACTTCATTACTTCTTGTCTTTCATAATCAAGAAGGTACCACTGAAAAACAACCTAAGGGCAAGTACTTAGGAAAGGAAATACATTTCTTATTAGCTCAATAATGTTAGAGTTAAAATTTGTTCATTAAAAAGAAAAAGTACTCTATCATCTTTTGTACAAATAGAGCCTATGTTATACATCCTAATATTACAGTACTGAGTTACTGCAATACCATATTCATTCTCAGAACTTTCATTGTCAAGAGCAGAAATAAGTATGAATTCTGGGATGTGAATCTGTGTCTCACTGTCCTTTGGCAGGGCAATTTTACCTCCCCTGGGTTGACTCTTCACCAGTCAAGAAGTAATTTCCTGATTCCCTAAATTGAGATTATGTCTGCTTTTTCTTCACGTTTCTAAAGAATTTTTTTGTGTATCTTTTAACATCACAAATCTTATTCTAAAATAGAGTAATTTTCTGTACTGACTTATTACCCATTAGATTGTAACTCCCTTAAGCACCTAGTTTTTACAAGCTTTTACACTTGCATTTTACCTTTGCCCCATGTAAGCGAATATTTGTTAAATTAAAAACTGCATATTTTGATTTTGATTATGATAATGAATAAGAAATGACCCTGATTTTAAGGGCGTCATATCAGCAACTTACTTTCAAGTGACTTGAAAAAAAAATAATACATATGTATATATAAAGAAAGAAAGGCATGATAAAATGTTATAAACATCTGACAAATCTAGGTGAAGGATATATATATATATGGATTCTTTGTACTTTATCTGCAACTTTTCTGTAAGTGTAAAATTATTCCGAAATAAAAAAAAATTAAAGAACAAATGATTCATTAAAATGTAAGGCTACTGGTCTCCTTCTACAGTCATGCCAGTCTTGAGAAGGTAGCTCTTTTCTCACAGCCACTGCTATCTCCATATATATTAGCCACTGCCATGATGACCCAAAACCAAGAAAACTGCTACTTCCTCCAATTCCTTCTATATGTATACCAAAGAAGCTTCTTCCTGAAAAAGAAATCACAAACATCTACCACTTCACTAGTTTAAATTCCTTTCATATTTTCAGAACCACCACATTATATAACAGGTCGGAGTAAGAATTTTAGATTAGGAAAATAGATGTTTCTTTTATTATAGAATCAGCTAATGACAGGGGAAAGACTGAAAAATACCAGGATTTATAGATCCTTACTTGACAACCAACTGACTGCAAGTACTAAGATGACTTACTACTGAGTAATTGTCTACAATTATTTTAATAATCCAATATACAATATTGCTAAAGGAAATAATTTTTAAAGATGTATTTTCAATGAATATCCCAAAAAAAACTGAATGTGGAAATAAAAATAATATGACTGAATTAAGTATTTTCTGTGATTACAATGCACTAGATTAATAATGGTCAAAACACTCCAGCTTGTATGCGTGTAGGTATATCTGTCCCCAAGTTTCTAAAATCTAATCTGGAAAAATCCATCCTAAGTTTTCTCATTACATAAAAGCTAAACTTTAAATGTTCTGATGAAGTATTCACATAAAATGTCTCATTATTATCCTGAATATAAAATGATGATATGAAACATTAAAAATTATAAAAATAAAGATGAAAATTGATTGAATTCTTATAATTACTTAAGTATGCAATGACCTCAAGGAGCAATTTCCTAAATAAAATCTAACAACCTCAGTTACATAGCAACCAAAAAAAAAAAAAGACAGAAACCACCAATTTAAAATATAGAAACAAAACTCCTGAGTGACAGTACCACTAAAAATTATCCAAGAAAAGAAAACGAATAATTTACTCTGGGAAGGAGGAATGTTATCACCTGGTAATTTCCACATGAGCAATAACCAGAAAAAGAAAAACAAAATAGAAAATGGTAGAGAACAAAAAAATAAATAAATAAAGACATAAGACACCACAAAAAAGTTATTTTTAAAAAAAGCAAAGCTAGAGGACTGGAAGAGGAGGAGGACAAAAGCAGTGAAGTAACAAACAGAATGCCAACAGTGAAGGAAAATGGAGCCAGATAAAAACAGCTGCTGGCTTAGGGAACAAGCACAAATAGTCTTTTAGGTCTTAGTAGCTATTTAAAAAAATTACTGTGCCAGGCATATTCATTCACCAAATGTTTACTGAGTACCTGCTATGTACATAGGATTGTAATAAATGGGGAGTAGGGAGGGAATGCAAGTGGGGTTGAATACAAAATGAATTAGACATGGTCCTCATGAAACATGCGTTCTAATGGGGAGACAGAAATTAATAACAATTACAAATGCTATAATGGCAAAATCCAGCATGCAAGGAAAATGTAAAACCTACCTAGTGTGGGAAGGGCTCCCTAAAGTGACAACATACCTGAAGGATGAAAAGGGAAAGGGTGGGGGAACAAG